CTCTTGAATCAGCTCCTCGTACTCCTGCTCGCCCGCGGTCATGAACTCCACCAACTCATTTTCTACATGCATGCAATGACGATGCAACGCTCAATATTAAGGCAACAATAGTTCTTAAAATAAGAATACATCTACTAAGCCACTAAGCTAGCTCTAATGACTAAGATACCAAGCTAATCATCATTCCCATCAAACTAGCAGGGTTTCGCCAACAAGCGCTACTTAGCAACTAAAATATATTCTTACCCTTATTAACGATTTCCTATATACTACAACAAGGAGTACTTAGCTACCATATTTCTTAACATATTCTAAGGCTACAAAAACTACAGTGAGCACATAATAATACAATGAACCTTCTGTAAAAATTTTATAGACAAAACTATTACCCATTTACCACAAAAATTCCTACAAATATTAACCTAATAATACTAAGCTCTTTCAAACGAATTAATATACCTAAGCATCAAGTTAGACATGTATCCACTAATCATACCATCAGATAGACAATATTTTTAGGAAGTAAACATAATTTATTTCATCATTTTTGGACGTCTATGTGAATTGATATAATTTTTCAAAGTCTAGCTCAGAATCTAAAAATAAAACCTATTTCTATTTTCTAGAAAAAGGAAAAACGAATTCAACCCGCGTGGCCCATTAACGAACGGCGCGGCCCACACACGTGCGAAGGCGGCCCGCAGCGGGAGAGCCCGCGCGTGAGCCGACCAACTTACAAAAATGCCCTCACGTTCTCCAATAATACTACTAACACTATGTGCACTATTTCAACAAACTACAATTTTGCAACAAAACCCTCGCCCCTTCTCTCCTTCACAACGGAGAGGTCCACGCCCTGGCCGCACACGCCGACGCGGCGACCGATGACACTGGCAACCCCTGTCGGCCAACTGGGACCTTCCCCGCCCTATCTAAAGGACGATGCTCACCTAGGTGCAGACCCGAATCGATGGGCGCTGATGAGATGAGTGGGGGCGCGTCTAGGAGCTTCCTCTGCGGCGACGGCCAACCTGCGACGGCGGCAACCCGTTCAGGCGAGCTCCACCACCGGAGAGGAAATATGGACAACATATGAGCGTTAGGGTCTCACCGTGATCCTAACCGAAGTGGTGGTGCGGCCGAAGACCGCCCCCCTCGAGCCGGCCATGTGCGCGCGGTAAGGGCGACGATGGGCCGCTATGGCACGGCCACGTCAGTGCCGTGAGGGAAGCAGTGAGGACGTGGCTCAGGTACACACGTCGAGAAGGATTGCGAGGTGGGGCTGGGGGTGCAGCCAATTTGGCTCGGGATGGCAAGGTGGGGTCTTGCGCACGGCAACGGCGGGCTTAGCCTATAATGGCCCGACGGCGGAAGCAAGGCTCCAAATTGGAGCTTGTCATGGCGTGGTTGGACGCGGTGCAGGGTCGGTTAGCTAGCAGGCTCGAAGGCGAAGTCGGGAGCGCAGCGAATTGAATGGACGTGACCCTTCCATGCCAGATTGATGGTGTGGCTCGGCCGGCCCGGGCGGCAGAGGAGGAAGGGGAAAAGGAAATGGGTCTGGCTGGCTTGCCCGGGCTTTGGCGGGATGTGGCTGGGCGCACACGTGCAGATGCTGCGAGCCAACGTAGCTAGGAGGGAATGTGCACGCGCGCAGGCAGTGGCAGCGCGGTAGGGCGGCCGTAGCGCTGTTAATGGCGAAACGACGCGCGGTAGCCACAGCAAGCCCACGTGCACGAAGATGGGACGGGCAGCGGCGTAGAGGCATAGGTGGATGCAACGGCAGTGTGCTGTGGCGTGGCAGGCAACGGCGTGGTGCAGCGAGCTAGGGGCAGCGCAGCGCAGCAGAGCGAACGCGTGAGGCCCCAGTGGCACCGGCAGCGATGCCAACGATAGCGCGCAGCGCGCGATGGGACTACGGCGGCAGCAGCGCGACAGTGAGGTGGGGCAGCTGTTCGCCAGGGCTGTCGGCCACAGCGCCTAGCCAAGCGTGGCCAGGCGCATGTGGCCGGCGCGCCGACGTCGACATAGGGGTCGGCACGAGGAAACCAACCAAGGACGTGCCATGCACGCTTTTTAAAGCGTCCAAATCAACTAATCGGTTGACCAAACACCCAAACCATCTTCACCATACTTTAGATGATACATCAGGCCACCAAAACAACCCGTAACACTACCCTACTTCTTAACCAGATTGCCGTACAAAAATTACCAAACATCGCAGTGTCTAGCTCACCAAAAGTTCATGAAATCTTCTAAGTGTTGAATGACTTTCTATTTCTAGTTGCATTTCCAAACCCTTAGAAATATAAGCTAGCAACATTATTTATCAACACCAAGTATTTCATTGTCATCTACAAAGTTTGTACTTTCAACTTTATTTAAGTGTTGCATATATGTTATATATTGTTTTTGTTCGATAAAAATTGGCTTACAACCCTACTTCATAATTATGCGAATCATGGAATAGCTTTCTGATTAACATTCTATTGATCCTTCTACGTTACGACACTGTATCTACTTATTTTACCACATGCATTAACACACAAATAGGATGCTCATTGCATGTTTTAGTAAATGATTTACAGTGTAACACCGAGGGTGTTACAACAATACCGCATAGAACACACAATATTTTATCCCGTGGTTTGATTACTTGCTGGTCACCTACTTTCACGTTGAGGCGAGTCCTAGGATCACCACTTTTCTACAAAAGACTCAACCTTGTAAGGTTGCCTCCTCCAGTTAAGGCTTTGTCTCTAAGCTAGCTTGATCACAAGGCACTCTCAATACCTCTTTTCACTAGAGTGATTATTTGCCTCTCTTGCGAGGTAGAATCCAATACTCCCTCGCAAATCCTCCTCTGAAGCACCACAATCTTTAATCAACTGCTTCAATGGAATTCTGCAACTCCAATGCATCTATGTGGCGGCAACTACCAAGAGTAACGAGCAAAGCGTACTACAAATCGTCTCTAGTGTCACTCAGTTGAATTTCTCAAAGTAAATGCACTAGAACCACTCTAATCTCTCCAAAGATGCAATCACTAGCAAGCAAATGAAAGTGGAAGGTTAGCTTATACTCTAATGTGTGTGGATATCAGCTAGGAGGTCCAAGATAGTGGCCAATCCCTTCCAAGTCCTTTGTTTATAGCCTCATACACCAAAAGAGTTGTTGAGACTTTTTAGCACAGAAAACAACAGCACCGGATATCTTCGACGAGCACCAGAGAGCTCTTTTGACTATCGCTAACATTGTGCTTGATTATGCTAAACTGGTTGTTAGGGCTCCAGTGATTTCTCCAGTGCACCACCCAAGAGCTCCACCCTAAAAACAATACCAACGATGTGTTTTTCAAACATGCTAACTCCAAATGGTTTTCCACGGGATAACACTTAGTTAGCATTTTCAAATATTTTCCAAAAGTTTGTCACATGATTTTTGAAACACTAGTTCAATATATATGCAGTGCAGTTAAAGACCTCACAAGTGGCACTAGATAACCGTATGCAAACTTGATTTGCTCCTCTTAATAGTATGACTATCTAACCTATCAATCTAGCCACCTCACTTCACTAAACACCATGTGGGTCGGTGGAAGACAAAACCTATACATAAACCTTTGCCTTCACTTTGTATTCCATCATTCATCTTTATTTTCACCTTGTTGAGCTTTTGCATCACATGGTTCATGCCATCTTATCTTTATGGCCTTCATGTAGCTCAATCTTGATTGTGGACTAACACTTGATCTTTCATGTCTCATATAAAATCATTGGTCCACAAATGTTGCCATTAATTATCAAAACCTAAACTGGACTTTCAGACATCACATTGTTTTTTCTAGCACTGAGTACATTGTGGGTGGTCTTATAGTAGACAGTAAAAGCCACCAAAGTAGCAGAATGGAATAGTTCACCTGTCCCTCTACACTTATCTACGCTCTATGCACCGACCCTCACCACGGGGGTCATAAATGTAAACAACAATATATGAAACAATAAGGCCTAAGTCACCTAAGCAAACTCAAGAATCTTGTGATGTGTTCCCTTTGTCTTGTATCTCTTATTAGTTGGTTATCGACAACTAGCCACATATTTTAATCAATCTTTAGTCTACCCATTATTCCTTAAATTTCGATCATCTACTAGGACTATTTTTTAGCAAATAACAATTAACCTAAACATGCCTTAGTGCTAGTGGGAAATGACATAGGTAGATGTGCCCTGGCACGTAATAATTGCATTTTCTTTGTAATAATTGTACAAGTAGCATGCGTATTTAAGACATATTCAAAAATCTTATGAAAAGTGGTCTTAGGCTAGTCTCAATGAGTTTTATGGCGTTGTTTTCGAGACTGCCACGCCATATAGAATGAAATGAAATATAGATGAAACATCAATTTCAATGAAAAGTTTCATTTTATAGTTTCATAGACATTTAATTTCATAATTCATAGAGATAGTAATTGTGACAAGAGAGTTTTATCCACATAAAACTCATTCCTTCCTCTTTAAAAAAACTGATGAAAATACTTGTGTAACTACTACTTGTGTAACTACTTATATATTAACAAATAAATACAAATAAAGCTCTAACGAAACGTTCACTGATAATGGGGGTGTTTAGTTGGCAAAGTTTGCGCAATAGTGAAGATTCTCTACTGTAGTATTTCGTTTGTATTTGTGAATTATTGTTCAAACATTGACTAATTAGGCTCAAAAGATTCGTCTCGCAAAGTTAAAGCAAACTGTGTAATTAATTTTTTATTTTATCTACATTTAGTACTCCATACATGTATCGTAAGTTTGATGTGACGATGAATCTTCTTTTTATATAGTGCACTTTTCAGAAGTTCGAGCAACTCAACGAGGGCAAATCTCTAGGCAGGCCAATAGTGGATGGGTCGGCCTGTCAGCGCTTTTCACAGCAGTAACAGCCTAGGGGCCCATGCCGTGCTTGATGTAGACCGACACATCAGCTCTCACTGCGCGCACGTCACCATGCTCACTTTGGATGCCGCTTCGCCTCCTCCGGTCCTCTACTCCTCTCTCCGCGCCTCCAATCTCCGGGGACCAGGACTGCGCCACCTCTCCCAACTTCCCATGGCGGCGCTGGCACGGCGACCACCCCCACAGCAGCTCCCGCGGCGCCGCGCTGCTACAATCGGCACCCTCGGCGCCACTTCGCGGCGCGCCGTAACCGGGTTGCCTCGGCGAGGAGGCTTGACCTGTGCGCCAGCGCCTCACCTGCCGTCACCGCTCCCGACATACCCGACGAAGCTGTCGCGGTGAGCTCCCCGGACCCGCCCCGCCCCGCCCCGCTAGGCCGCTAAAGCATTCCGTCGAGCAGGCGGAGAGCCCGCCCACTCAGAAGTCAGACCACACACTCCGCTGAGAAGGCGGCGAGTTCAAAGCGTGCTTTCCTTTTCAGGGACCCTTGGTGGAGCAGGCGCCGGAGACGAAACTGAGGAAGCTGGCGTGTCCAATCTGCTACTACCCCCTCGCGAGCTCGAGCGATCAGTCGGAGTAAGCGGTCTTTCACCATTTCGTTCCGCACTGCCACTGCCACAGCCAACTGGTTATCACGCAGCTTCTCAAATTGATGGTTGTTTGTTCATCTTCAGCGATGCTTCCAGTCTCGAATGTTCAACCTGCAAGAAATTCTACCCCAACAAGCAGGATTACTGGGATCTTACAGTGTCAGTTGGTTCCACAGAGTACTCGGAATCCATGCCCGCAGCAACAGAGTTGTTCAGGTAAGGATGTTTGTTTGTTTCTTCTTGGATTAGTTGTCCTGGTGGATCTGGGTGAAATGAGGGGGCGAAGGAATTAATCACAGACGAAATTGACCTTCTGAAGCTTAAAATTGTAGTGTCTCCTAAATTAGGGGCATGATTCACTTGTCCGTCTGCTTCACTTCTCTGAGAGTTGGAATTCTTTTAAAAATTACCCCACTAACTAACAGCTGAAAGCATTCCTAAGGCTCTAAGCCTCTATATCGGAAATGCAAGAAATCTTAATATCTTTTTTGAAGCCTTGAAAATGTTGCGACAGAGATACATTCTTTTGCATACAGACATAACCAATGATCCAATTAAAGGTTGCATGTCATACTAGTATCAATGTTTGCCAAACTGTTTCTTTTGGGGAGCTGGGGACCAAGAATATGAGACTGCATTTGTCAATTAGTTCGTCCAGATTATTTCTTAGTCCTTACAGATGATTATTCGAACAGGACTCCACTGGTATCGTTTCTTTATGAAAGAGGATGGCGCCAAAATTTCATATGGGGTGGTTTCCCAGGCCTAGAGAGAGAGGTCATGCTGCTTAACTATGTTCTATTCATAAGGATGTTCAATTGCATTTGTGAACTTTCTGTCTTCCAATCATCTCTATGTAAATTTGATTAGTAGCTCCCTTTCCTTTCCTTTCCCCATGAAAAAATATGGTACTCAAGAGCTCTTGAAGAACCTTTGATCATGGTATTTTACTTATACCTGATCACCTTTTGGGTTGGCCATTCTAGAAAAAATATGGCCTTGTTGCATCCAGGCTGGGCCCATTGCAACTATTTGGCTGTTGATGATGTGCCACCAGTTTTTTTTTTTTTTTTTTTTTTTTTCACGTAGCCAAGGTTCTGATGTCAAGCTTTGCTTGACCCTAAATTCAATCTTGGGTTGAGCCAGGTTTGGTTTCCTTAGCAACTTACATATATTTAAGCATTTACATATCATTTGTATGAGCATATACATTTTCAGATTTCTAAACAACATTGCAATGCCTACAGTTTGAAATGGCAAAAACTTATTTGAAGCCAACATTTGGAGGGACTATTGTTGATGCAAGTTGTGGAAGTGGCCTGTTCTCAAGATTGTTTGTTAAGAGTGGATTATATTCTCTTGTTGTGGCACTGGATTTCTCAGAGAATATGTTGAAGCAGTGCAACGAATGCATCAAGCAGGAAAACATTTCAGATGAATATGCCTTTGATCATTAGGTTTAGTTCTGTACCATACTTGTCATGTTTAACTTATTAAGTCTCGATATTTAGTTGTTCCTTCATGTCAGTAGCTTTGTGGCCGTGATTATTAGTTTATTCTAACAATATATGTGAAACGCAAACTGTTTTGTTTCAGGATATTAGAATTGGTGAGGGCTGACATATCCAGACTCCCTTTTGTGAGTGGTTCAATTGATGCTGTGCATGCAGGTGCTGCAATTCATTGTTGGCCATCCCCAGCTTGTGCTGTAAGATCCCTATTTGAGTTACTAATTTATGTCAAAAAGTTTTCATTCCTTTATCTGTTTCATAATTACATTCTTGAAGAGCTTAACAATAAAATTCTGATTAGTGTTTGTATATTAACCAGCTTCATTGGTTACTCCATATTCTTCTTTGCACTCAAAATACATGGCAACTGCTAGTTTGATTACTTACATAAAAAATATTTTCCATCGTGTATTTTCCATGAACCTACCTACTCTCTCCCTCCCAAAAAGAGTATCGCTATGGGGTTCGCGCCGGTCAAATTTTCTTAAGTTTGACTAGGTTTGTAGAAAATATTAACAACGTTTGTATCTCTAAATAAGTTTATTATAAAAATATATTCAACGATTTATCTAATAATACTAATTATGCACCATAAATATTAATATTTTCTTATATATATTTGGTCAAAGTTGAAAATGTTACTCCCCAGGAAGTGAGAAATGACACTCTTTATAGGGCGGAGGGAGTACTTGGTTGCTCCACTTTCCTATGTGCCTCAAAATATATGGCAGCATACTAGTTTACCACTTCCATATTGCTCCTCGAAAATATGCGAATGAATGAATCTTGCGTGTTGAACCCACATGCTTGTTACATTTGTGTTCCTCTTTTCCACCCATGTTTCACAATCATGCAAGTGCATGAGCACAACCTCCAAATGAGTAAGAAGCCGACTTATTCAGGGTCCATTATTACAACCCACAAGTCATGAAGCTTGATAAAGTAGCGAACAAAGAATTGCTTCAATGAACAACTTTAGCAATATTTCAACTTCTCAATATACTTGCTGGGAGATCTATGTTTATGCTTTTCACTTTCCCGTCACCTGGTGACTAGTATAATGTCCGTACTAACGCCACGGCTTTATCTTGGGGATACACATGAAACAACCTAACAATGAACTTTTTTCATAGTTTAACTTTTCCACAATAGTATATTGCCCGTGCTAACGCTATGGTGACGTCTACAAAAAATAAATCATAAAACTAAAATAAATCATAAAACAAAAAATAAATCAACTAATGAAAGAAACACGAATTCACAGTCTCGCAGAGATTAGTCATTTCACACACAGAAAAAATAGACAAGCCCTCACAGCACTACTAAGACGGGTCTTAAAGTTCATAAACCATCAGTCTATATATTATTCTATAAACAATGGTTTATGGCCGGGACGGGGGCTTTCTCCGCGGCACGCTGCCACTCCACTCTGCCAGGTGTCCTTCAAATAGAAACCCCTACCACTAGACACATTGGCCCCTGCAAAAATGTAAATAGGCAAAAGGTTGTGAGAGACAAACTTGACAACCTGTTCCACAAATGTTCTTATTCATAGCAAGAACGCAAACAGAGAACACAAGCACATCGAAATTAGTTGAAGCAGGGTGATTGTTAGAAGCATGTTGAATATATAAAATGTATCTCTACTATAATGGAACTACACATTCTCTATGAAAGGGTTGTTAAGTTAACGGAGGCCGCACACAATCACATGCAGCCATACCAGAATGCTAGCAAGGAACAAAATTATCAAGTTACTCCAGAGATCTAGTTTATACTGTTTTGCGATTATGCAAGCAACAGTTACATATCTAACTGAGATTACCCAACAAAGCTTAAGCTCAATAGGAACATTGGTAATTTGTGATGCCTAAATTCTACAATACTACTTTCCATATATCCCATAAAAAGAAATCAGGTTCCATTTTCTGAAAGTTGACATTAAGATGCATGCAATGTTGTCTAGACCAAAAAAATTGTCATTGTGGCTTGAACGCATTTTTAAGCATTCTAATCATTCTGGGAAACAAAATCGGAGGATGGTGATCTTGCTGCACATCAATTTAAAGCCTTTCGGTACGAATAAGCAAAAATATACCAAATTGAATTGTTACCCTAAAAGTATTCATAGCCACCAGCTAACAATTTTTTCAAAATCATTAATTGTAGCAGAATATAATTCTAGTTTCAGAAAAAAAAATCATAAACATTATCTTTTTTTTTTATCGGCAAAAGTTGCCTTCTTCGTGCAGCTCATAATAACAGAAAAATGTCAGCGATCAAGAGTGAAACAGGGGTCATAACTTTGGTCAGATATAGTCACCTAGCAGCTAATCCTAAATCACACATTACACATTTCTTTGAACCTACTACATGATAATCACCTTGCAGGGAATGCTTGTAGTATGCATTCTAGTGCAGGTGATGTATAGCATGCTGTAAAATCATCATAAACCTGAATTAAGCATCTAAAACCTATCGGACAACAATCAGTAACAGTATAGAGATTGTTTGATTCAATTTTCGGCACTGCTTGCCTCCAGTAAGGACCAAACTCAAATACAATTTTACACAGCTAGTAACAAACACATGAGAACATTGGTCAGTACCTCACTCCGAAGCTCCTCATCAACTCTGTGGCCATTAGCCGCCTCCACATCCAGCTTTGTAGTCACTTCCTAACAGGCCTCAAAACTAATTGGAACACCAAAATTTGGCATGGCGAAATATCAAACGTATTTTTCTCGTCGCTCAAGAAGGCGTCCCCGAGGCAGCTCTCCCTCACGAGCGGGTCCTAAAAAGACATCAAGCAAAAGGATCAAATAGTTGGGATCACAATGTACCATGTCATTCATCTCTACAATTGATTGAAACGCATGTATTACGTATTGAAATTGATTAGAACAGACACAAATCAATTTATGATCAGCAAGATCAATTCGGCAAAAACCTTGGGCATCAAACACAGGCTCGATCTGAATCTAGACAGCAAACCTCAGCATAAATCTATCGTACTGAGATTGATAGAACAAACACAGATCAATCTCTGATGAGCAAAATTAATGCGGCGAAAACCTTGGGCATCAAACACAGGCTCGATCTGGACCTAGACAGCAAACCCCAGCATAGATCTATCGAATCCAGAGCATCATCGTTTCCTCAAAAAAAATCCAGAGCATCATGGTTTTACTACTACTACGGTACTACCACAAGAGCAACAAGCTAGCAACTACGCTACGCTAACGACAACACGCAAAGGCGAGGATGAACATCGATTGATCCATGTACCGATGTACGATCAGTCGAAGAGGTTGAAGAGGCTGACGTCCTACTCCTCCTCTTCCTCCTTCTTGGCCTCCTCCTCGGCTTCGGTAGCGGCTACACAATCGTTACACAGTAGGGACTTCAGCTCAATTTGTTCAAACATTTTTTGGTAGAAGGTCTACACAATCGTTGCACACTGAAGTTTGCAAAATCAGGCTGCATTTCCTTCCGAGTTCTGATGTTGAGGGAATACACTGGAAATGTAGGACCAAATAAATGAATGTACTCTCACAGCAATGTAAATATTATTTTTGGTGGCAAGAAGTTTTTGCTCTGGAATGTGAATTAGATATGTTATCCCAAGATGAATGAACAGGCATACAAGGACAGCTGTACATATCCACGAACAACATTGCAATAGGCATCGACAACTACAAAAATGAAGTAAATAACTAAAGGAGATTTAAATACCTTGATCAGTTGGTCAGCAGAGAGAAGCCCAAGAATCAATTTACATTTCTAAGTCGCAGCTGCTTAAAAAAAAGGACGCATGAATGAATTTAGGAAGGTAAAGGTAAGTTAATTCTTAGCAGAGAAGGGGTCACTTGATAGGGTAAGAAGCATCAGTCTGGAACCATGTTTCAGAGGCCTGGAAAAGTTCAGCAGGATGGAAATCATGTAATTAGGCCCAATATATTATTGAGCACTATTCATGTATCATCTGCGGCCATGTCTAGAAGGTAATATGACACATAGGGCATCAACCAAGAACAAGAGTGATCCATGAACTTCCTGCTGCTAGAAATCATGTTATAAAAAACAAGAAGACCAACCAAATGCGAAATCATGTCATAAAAAACAAGACCAACCAAATGCTCACCAGTGTAGGAAGCACCTGCGACGTGGAAGTTCAACAAATCCCATTGCATAAAGCTGTAGCAACGAACAGAAGCAGTATAACAAATTAGTAAAATCCTGTAACATAGGAAAAGCATAAGGAAAAAAAACAGAGCACAGTGCTACAGGGAAGAAGGAAAACTGAGCAGTCACATTACACAGGGCACCGTAGAAGAACGATAGGTCACATGAAGCACTGGTTCGAAGCATTGGACAAAGCGGTGAGGCCCACGATTGTAGTTACGGTGCAGCACACCCAAATCAAGTACCTGCGGAACCACATTCGAACAGAATCCAGGTTAGCAAACCCGACGAATGGAGGGCCGCAACGGGGACGAATCCCATCCATAAGAGCGGTGAGGAGGGGAGAGGAGAGCTGAGTGGCACCATGGAAGAGGAGCCGAGGAAGAGGAGAGTCGCCACTACCTGGATGTGGTCCCGAGGAAGGCCTCGCGCGCCCAGGCAGTCGGGGTGCGCCGCTAGGGCTTTCCCACGCCGGGGCTCGCATAGAGGGAGGGGTCGACCGCACAGTGCTGGGAGAGGCGGACGCCGGCACGCAAGGCGAAACCCTAGGTTGGCGCTGCCGCCGCGCTGTCGGGGGGGGGGAGGCATCGGTCCTTCACCGCCGCCACGGGAGAGACCGAGAGAGAGGATGGGAGCGGCGGCCTCTGTGCCTAGGCAAGTTTTGTTTTCCGGGAAAATGCATGGGCGGAAGTAGGAATCGAACTCGGGCGCGCGGGATGTGGGGAGGAGCGAGGGCGCGGCGTCGGTGTGCGGGGTGTGGATGCGTGAGAAGCCTGGCATCCCACATCGAATCGTGGCCATCGGGTTTGATTTAGGTGTTCTATTAGCCCTTGATTTTAATGGAGATGAATTCATGTGTACATTTTCCTGGGTGCATAATGGTTGGAAGCACTCAGCGGGGGACGTTTTCCGGGGGGGACCTAGTATAATTTTGATTGGTCCATTATAGTAGAGATGATTGGTGAAAGTGCTTATTCTGTTTATGATCTTTTCATAGGTTGTAGATATCAGTAGAGTCCTTCGCCCAGGGGAGATTTTTGTTGCTTCCACATTCGTAGCAGATGTTATTCCACCAGCTATTCCAGTATTGAGTATTGGACGCTCGGTAATGCCAACTCGTAATTATCACAAAATAATGGTTTTCCTGTGACAACAGGCCAATTCACATTAAACCTGAAGTGGTTCCGTAGTGTTTTGAATCCTCCAAGTTAATGGATGGAAGACTAAATCTTTGATCATCTTGTGCTCCTATATGTAATTCACTTTGCCCTGTTCTGTTCTCTTACACTACCTTTTGGAATTATCTTGCAGTACATTAGCCTAATATCTGGGAGTAATATCTTCTTATCCGAAGTGGAGCTTGAAGATCTTTGCAAAGCACGTGGGCTGGTTGATTTCAAATTTGTCAGAAATGGATTCTATATAATGTTTTCTGCCACTAAAGCAAGCTAATTAAATAACAGCAATCGTCCTGAAGTTTATATCAAGACTCCTTGGTTTTGTACTGTAAATGGTAAATACACTGTTTAATAATTATGTTTAGTGAACTATATGGCTAATTCTCTTTCACATGTCCTGATAAATGTTGAAATATTTTGTTACAGGTTTCTTTCTGTGCATTTGTGTGGCTGTGGCCATTGCTCTTAAGGTTGCCAGCTTTTCTCAAGGGAGGTGTGATGTAAATAGTGAATACACATGTTTTACTTGACTGACCTCATCATAGCATGGATTATATCAGTTATTTGTATACAGCTTCATAGGTCTGGCAATTGTACAATATATTAACTCATCTTTACTGTTCATACAGGTGGTTCCTTTGATCCAATCGTTTACAAACTAATGTTGTTGTTGCTTTTTCCTGAAAAGGTAAATTGAAGTATTAGCGCGTACCCAGTGTAGAGAGCTCCTGCTCTGTGTGGGGTCTGGGGAAGGGTGTCAGTGGCAAGCCTTACTCTCGCCTGTGCAATGCGAGGAGACCGCGACTCGAACCCAGGACCTTCTGGTCACAGGTGGTAAGACTCTACCGCTTGCACCAGACTTGCCCTTCAAATTGAAGTATCAGCAGGGCGAGGAATAATTTTAATCAAAATAAATTGGTGAAAATCATCTGTACAAAGTTGTCTTTGTTTTGTCTAAATTTTGTTAAAGAAAAAGACTTTCTTATATCTCCATTGCCACCTGAAAAGGCCTTCTAGCTTACAGTACGCTTCTTCTAGGAAGCTTCTATTTTACTCCCACCATTCTAAGTTACAAGTCACTTTGGAAAAATATATTAGTCGGCTGTCTACAATTTTCAAACTTAATTAGGATTGCAGCCAATCTTATGAAAACCTGACATGTAAACAGCCAAATTTGTGCCCAGAACTCGGTTGATTTATGTGTGTTTCAGTCGGTTTTTCATGGTCAAGAATCAAGAAAAACTGAAATGTTTTTCTATTACAGCTAGTTTTTGTCTACAAACATCTCAAAAACTTGGCCAAATTTATTCGTACCTAGTTTTGTGAAATCACGTTCTACGCTCTAATCCGCTTAAGATATAACTAATTGAGAAGCACAAAGACGGCAAAGGAGCCTAATTTGCCTATTTTTATCAATGTTTTGTTGATTTTTATCACGTAAAGAGTTGGATTTCTCATGTTGGATCGGATTTTGTATGCAACAAAAGTTCAATAAGAGTTTAGATGCAAATGTAGTCTGTAGATTTCGTCTTTCCATGCGTGGTAACAGGTAACGATGGTTCCGACGAGGCATGTTTAATCTATTAACACTTGAGCGACAGTCCAGGAAACGATGCAGAACTTCAGATTTGGTTGTCTTGCTCTTGCCCACCTCCACCTTATTGGTAGCCTCCTCATCATGATATTAGCCTCTGATTTAAGGAGCTGACAGAGGATTCTTCGTCTACCCGTGTATGAACCACACTTGACTCATTGTCGTCACTGGCTTCTCCACCGAGGTGGTCATCCGATGCCATCAGAAGCTCCTTTCGAGCGCGCTCCCTGTCTCGGGGGTACGTGCAGTACAGGAAGGTGTAGGTCAGGCAACAGATGGCCATGGGCACGGCGATCTCCGTGTAAACAGCCTTTGCCAACGCGGCGGCATTCTCCCTGTCCGTGTCCACGCTCGTGTCGGACGAGACCGGCTTATAGCCGAACACGCGCTCCGCAAGAACACCGACGATGGGAGACGCAAACGATGCGAACACTGCTTCGAAACACTTGTCCAGTGCGTAGACCGTCGTCCTCGCCTTCTCTGGCACAATCTCCGCGAATATGGGGCTGCAATGCGATTGCGCAGGAAGAAAGACAGTGGACAATGAGCAAGCAACAATGTAACACAACAAGATACTGTATAGTAACAGATTTGGAAAATGCCTAAGACAAAAGCATCATATCGATCATACTTGTTGGTCGACGAAGCGTTCAGGAGATGGCGAACCCCATGACGAAGAATGTGACGGCGTGCGCCACGCCGGTGGACGGGTCATTGGGCAACGCCAGCAGCAGGATGGCGGCGGCGGGAGCGCGGATGCCGAGCTTATCTGCGCCAGGGCGATCCTACCGGTGTTGGGGAACCGTCTGGCGACGGGGTCTCCGATGAGGCCCCCAAAGAGCGCGCCGAGAGCGGTGGCGAACAGGTACAGCCCCGTGATGACGCTGGTCTCCCAGTTGGTGAACCCGGCGAGCTCCAGCCACATGGCGGAGAAGTTGAGCGCGGACCACGGGATGGAGCCGGCGATCCCCTGCGCGACGATGATCTGGAACGTGGTCACCCCGAGGACGCGCCGGGCGTGCTGGAGCAGCTCCTTGGCTTCCTCCGTCGCGGAGGCCGCGGTCTTGGACGGCTTGGCGACCGGGCTCGCCGGGTCCGCGGCGAATAGCCACATGAGCACGCCCAGCGCGACGCTGATGACGGCCACCGCGTGGAAGGCGACCCGCCACCCGGCGACGCCGAGGAAGGTGATCGGCGCGAGCAGCACGCCGAAAGAGCCCCCAGGATGGAGCCCAGGTTGCAGGTCATCTGCAGCCAGCCGAAAACCGCGCCGCGGTGTGGTCGTCGGTGTAGTCGGCCACGAGGGAGCTGATCGCCGGGAGGACCAGCGCGAGGCCGATGCCGTTGAGGCCCCGCGAGATCGCCATCTGCGCAATGCGCGCGCGCGAGCCACAGTTTGCGAGTCAGCGGATGGGCCCACGTGTCAGGGATACACCGAAATATCATCGACCTTCTTTAAATTAAACTGGAATATTCGGATAACCGCTACGTTTGGTGGTAGGTGCCGACGTGCCGTGGGAGACCGAATTAAAAGCGTGGAGGTGTGGGTCCGCTACGTCAGACACAGGAGGAGGAGGAGGAGGAGGCGGAGGAGAGCGGGGAGGAAATTGGGGAGACGGACGGACGGACCTGGACGAAGCTGCCGGAGACGGCGACGAGGAAGGTGGCGGCGGCCCAGAGGAAGGCGCCGACGGCGACGACGCGGGCCCGGTCGTGGCGCGCAGAGGCGTAGGCGGCGAGCGGGTAGCAGGCGGCCTGCACGAGCGCGCGGCAGAGGGTGAGGGAGCCCAGCGCCGTCGGGGAGGCGCCCAGCGCCGCGCCCACCTCCTTGTACACGGCGGGCAGCAGCACCTCGTCCGCCTTCTCCAGCACCGACGCCAGGTTCACCAGCACCAGCGTCCACCGCCGGCGCGACGCCGCCTCCGCATCCGGATCCCTCATTTGCCCCCCCGCGGCTCCTAGTTATTAGCAGCTAGCAGGCTCAGCTGGCTGCCAAGAATTGCGCGGCGACTAGCAGGAGGCAGGAGCGTCCCCGGGCTAATCAAAGTCGATTTCTTGAGATGGGGGAAGAAGAGACAGCCTTGTGTTGTGTGTTTTGTCAAGCTCGAGCGGGGATTTGACCAATTGACCCAGGAGCGACGGAGCGAGCAGGTGAGCCACCGCCGAGGCTGAGCTGGAAGCTGGCACTGTGCCACATAACATAATCCGGCGCGACAGCAAGCAGTGTCCCCGACGGCGATTCCGTTTTTTTTATTATTATTTAAACTGTGAAACCGAAGTAAAAATATCGACACTAAACTTATCGGTTCTCCTGTTTTACAGTTAACTGTTACTCATTCCTAAAAACCGAAAACACCAAACCAAATTTTCAGTTAAAACCGACTGTCCACCCCTACGCACAACCTATGTTGCTTGGCTAGTTGTTGGGTCATGGAATTAGATTGTGCTAGACTCGTGAGTTAGCTTGTTATAACAAAATGAGCTAAAATGCTTGTTAAAAAATATAAATGAGTTTATTTAAGTTGAACCACTTATGAGCCGAGTCAATAACGAGCCGAATCGATGAATCACAAGTTTTTTTTTTGTCCAGCTCTAGCCGCGGAGAAAGACACTAGCGCCTCCTTGAACTGCAAGCACGCAACACATGTCTTGCCAAAACCGTTTATACTCTTGTTTAATTGCCCAAACCGTTTATCCGTGCAAGGAAGGTAGGCGAGCACTAAAAAATTTGCATAGGGCTTTTCTTTAAAATCAGAATTGAATCACAATTCACAATGTACTGATGAACAAAAAACAAACTAGTATTTCCTCCTGTCATAAGTACTTATTTTTTGGAACATAGTCAAAATTTTATACTTAAGCGTCAGTCATATTGAAATAGTTAATTTGAAAACATAAAAAAATTAAGCGTATAGATTTGTCTTAAAAAAAATGTTTTCATAATATATTTATCAAATTTAGGTAAAACATTCTAATTGAAATTAGTGATCAGATCTGAAACATACATGCACTACAGATCCTATCACGTCCTTCTTGCAAAAAAAGAAAACACAGAGAGAAATATGGGGCTTGTTAGGCTAGCTTATTGAAATTTGGTGAAAATTTGGGGCCACTCGGTGGGGCACCGTTCACATAAGCAGTGTTTTCGGTCGAACAATATTTTCTCTCACAACAATTCAGTAGGAATAATGTATTTTAGCTTATTCAACCACCTGTAGAACAAGCGGATGAAAGTCCAAAAGCGTCCTACGCCGACAAGAAGGAGATAGTACCACACTACTCTTTGTGTCATGAAATATAATACCGCGTTTGGTTGTAGACACTACTACACTTGGACCATTCACGGCCACGTCGTAATCCCCCATTGTAGTCAATTTTCGCCTTGGCGAAGTGGTACATCGGCGTTGATAGTCATAGCCATCACCGTCGGTATCCGAGACCGACTAGGGTGCACATTACACCACCGTATTGGCTTATCATCCGTCCGTGATAAGATCCTTACTTTCATCGCATTGGAGCACGATCCAAATGCGTATTGGGTATACACTAACACCGCCGCATGACTTATGATCCGTCGTGATTAGATCCTTGTTCCGTCACACATTAGAGCACGACCGCTTGTGTCGAGGCGAACATCACCGCGTCGCCAGTATGAACCGTCTAGTCATAGGGCATGATCACCATTGCGTTGCAGTATGATCCGCCTGTGATGATCCTTTAGTCGGTGTCGGGTTACTAAATGATGCGGTGGTGATACACTATTGACCCCTGCCGCATCAGATGAATAGCGGTGGTGATGGCCGTCTGCTTCATCAACGACGAGTGGTATGGCGGTGATGACAAAACAACCAACGGCCCTTAAATCCGACGGTGACAGAATTGCATCCAATTTTCACAATGTATTTATTAATTTAGCTGGGCCTTAATAACTTACCGAATACACACCATACAGATATAATCATTACACATCATTCATCTGTCCACAACGAAGACTACTTTTTATAATAACAAGCAACAATAACATAACAACTGTGTCAACTAAAAAATTAACACAAGCGGTACATCTTTAAAAAAACACAAGCGATACATAGATATGAGAATAAAGGTTCTACATAGATATGAGAATAAAGGTTCTCGCTCCCCTCTGGACTTACGTGAACGAAAACGAGGTAGATGTGCTCTGCTCCTTCAGATTGGCACTCCACGCTTGCAAGACAAAGCTTCCTTGACTTGGTAGCGGTGTACCATGGAACCCTCTTCTTCCTCCCTTAGCCATTGCGGGGAAAATCGTTCAAAAGCACTTTCAGACTCCACAAAACTGCACAAAAGCAATGACATTAATAATATTCAACATACAAGTGCTTTAGTTACCAAGGCAAAATTAGACTATATATAGAATCAAAACAACTCCCTACCTGAAAAAAGAACAGCATATGCAACTTTACTGCTCTCCTACTGACTCTATGAACAAGGAAACATAAGGAAGACAGTGATGTCCCTCCGGACATAGCCTCTAGGTAGGTCTAGGATACTGTACGACCTGAGTAGGGAGGACAAGAACTTTTCTGAGGTTCATGTCATATGCGATCAGTGTTCTATCCTCGCCAACAATGAAACTCAAATTCCATTCTAGGTGAACTGCAATCACTCTGTAGTCCGCATTACAAACATCATAACCAAATTAAATATTGTCCCATCCAAATATCTCCAGCGTGGTCACCGTATGCTTCAATGTCTAGTTATCAGTACCATAGTCTTCTAGGATCCAAAATAAAAGCTGATACTTTCTGAACATACTAGCAGTACATAAACACAACTGACCCTGAGCTTCATGGATCGAGATTGCTTCACCACATGGCGTATGAATTTTCCTCCATGTCTTTCCCTACGTATCAACAGCAACTATCTAGGACAACTCCAGCCAGTGCATAGAACCATTAAGGAACACACTTGTAGAATATGTGCATACAACACCCTCACCCCATTCAAATTCCTTAAACATCCATGCTACACTCTTAGATGAGTAGATGCTCACACCTATGGACTCACCCGCCCTCTTCTTCCCATATTCAATCACAAGGAAATGCGATGAGACTGTCGGATCGAACCCCAAGCGAGCTGAACCAAAAGAACGGTTGTTATCTGGCAGTAACTGTCGATGCAGGACCCATGGGATACCCCGCAAGGGAGAGAGAAGATCTAGTCTAATTAAGATTCTCCCCATGTAATCTTAGTAGTAGTATTATTGAAAGGTTCTAATGGCTAGAGGGGGGTGAATAGCCTAATAAAATTTCTACAACAACACTTAACAAAAGGATTAGACAATTATGAGGCGAAGCAAGTTTTGCGCTAGCCTACTCAAAATGCAAGCCACCTACCACAATTCTAGTTTAGGTAGAATCTATTCACACAATAGCTATGACACTACTCTATGTTAGTGTGCTCTCAAAGGCTAACTGAAGAGCCACACCAACCAAGCAAGCAAGCTCTCACAAACTAACTACACTAAAGAGCTTGACAACTAGTTTGCGGTAATGTAAAGAGAGTGATCAAGAAAGTTATACTGCCGTGTCGAGGAAGGAGCCAATCAATCACAAAGATGAATAACAATGAAGACCAATCACCTTGGAATCAAATGATGAACACAATGATTTTTACCGAGGTTCACTTGCTTGCCGGCAAGCTACTCCTCGTTGTGGCGATTCACTCACTTGGAGGTTCACGCGCTAATTGGCATCACACGCCAAACCCTCAATAGGGTGCCGCACAACCAACACAAGATGAGGATCACACAAGCCACGAGCAATCCACTAGAGTACCTTTTGGCGCTCCACCGGGGAAAGGTCAAGAACCCCTCACAATCACCACGATCGGAGCCGGAGACAATCACCACCCTCCGCTCAATGATCCTCGCTGCTCCAAGTTGTCTAGGTGGTGGCAACCACCAAGAGTAACAAGCGAAATCCGCAGCGAAACACGAACACCAAGTGCCTCTAGATGCAATCACTCAAGCAATGCACTTGGATCACTCCCAATCTCACAAAGATCATGAATCAATGATGGAGATGAGTGGGAGGGCTTTGGCTAAGCTCACAAGGTTGCTATGTCAATGCAAATGGCCAAGAGAGTGAGCTTGACCCGGCCATGGGGCTTAAATAGAAGCCCCCACGAAATAGAGCCGTTATACCCCTTCACTGGGTTCTGATCGGGCTGACCGGACGCTCTGGTCCTACTAACCAGACGCTGGTCCTCAGTGTCCGGTCGCCTGATGGCGGCCACGTGTCACCTACGTTCAACTGTGAACGTTTGATCTCAACAGTTGAAATGTTGACCGGACGCTCCGACACTGTTGACCGGACGCTGGACCCTCAGTGTCCGGTCGTTTCCAGTAAGGGTCCAAATCCTATTTTTGCCGACCGGACGCGTCCGGTCATGCTTGATCGGACATAGCCCAGCGTTCGGTGCTTAACCCTAATCACTGTGCCGTCTGACAGCTCGACCGGACGTAGCCTTTCAACGTCCGGTCGCTGAGTGACCCAGCGTCCGGTCAGAAGACCGACGCCAGCATCATTGCGACCAACTCCATTTCACCTCTAACTTCTTCACCCTTGTTCAAATGTGCCAACCACCAAGTGTATTACCTTGTGCACATGTGTTAGCATATTTTCTCAAACATTTTCAAAGGTGTTAGCACTCCACTAGATCCTAAATGCATATGCAATGAGTTAGAGCATCTAGTGGCACTTTGATAACCGCATTCCAATGAGTTTCACCCCTCTTAATAGTACGGCTATCAATCCTAAATGTGATCACACTCTCTAAGTGTCTTGATCACCAAAACAAAATAGCTCTTACAAATTATACCTTTGCCTTGAGCTTTTTGTTTTTCTCTTTCTTCTTTCCAAGTCGAAGCACTTGATCATCACCATGCCATCATCTTT